TTTTAGTCTTTTTGATAAAAGCGTGTTTTTTAAAAAGTTTTTTTTTGTATTTAAAATGGGAAAAGGGATTTTTTAATGAAAAGCGGATAGGGGAGTCAGTGGGTATGACTCAAATGGATGGTTTGTCGAATCAAATAAAATGTGGAATACGTAAATTAAATTTGTTTTACTTTTGCATGTTTATTAAAGTATAAATTGAGGAAGTGAGGTTACTCATAGAGTGGAACGACTTTTAATACTTTATATCAGTGTTGTCCAAACTGTGTGCCGTAAAATTTTTTCGTAAATAAAGCGAGCCGCATGCTGTGTGCGACTTTGGATATGGCTTACCCCTGAGGTATGCTGTGGCTCAAAAAAAGTTTGGACAACACTGCTTTAAATATTGTCTTCCCATGAGACATTATGATCAGGGTTGTAAAGAAAATATGTAACAAAGGAGCACTAAAATGATAGCCAAGTGAATTTTTGTGATCACAGAGATACTCAAACTTAGAAAGTTTCTTGTGCCTTGTGAGTCTAAGTTGCCTAAAATTATCTTTAATTTATGTGTCGCGATTAGGAAAGCTTGACCTAGAAAGAAACTTAATAGATTTAAACTATTGAAAATCCTGTTAAATCACATCACTTTAGAGCAGTGATTCTCAAACATTGGTTCACAGCACATTTTTCTGCTTAAAGTTTTTCGCGCCACACTTGAAATTCTTTCACATCACACTTGAGTGCCCCGGCACAAAATTTGAGTACCACTGACTTAGAAGATGTTGAGAAACCACTGCATTAAGGATTAAGATTCTTAAACAACAAAAATTGCAAAAAAGTTTGAATATAAATCAAATAAATCCACAAAAATTGCTCAAATGAGCTCAAATCCTTCACAATACAATTTAATCAAGTCAAATCATAAGCAAAGCCACATGTTACTATAAATAAGTGCTAATATTAAAGCAATGAAACCAAGAAAAGGTAGGGAGCTGTTCACTTATGACGTCCATCAAAAACCGTAATTTTTAGACTTCCCACCATCACCCCCCCTCCCCCTCCCCCCCTCTGTCAGAGATGTCAAAACCTTCCAGCCTTGCAATGTGTCACAAATTATTAAAACCCTTTCCCCACAAATGTTGGACGTCATAAGTGAACGACCTCTAGAGAATGAGACGTTTTTTTTTCGTAATTTTTCTTGCGTCAATCTGCTCCTAAAGATGTGGCACATAAGATGAAAATGAAAATATCAACAATGGCAACACCGACATTAAAAGATTTTCCATCATATTTTTCATCTATATTTCATTTTCCTTTTTTTTCTGTTGTTTATTTCTAGACAGGTGTTGGGTAATAATTTTCTCTCTTTTTCATTCTCCTTCCATTCATTTCATTTCATTCATTTTTCTTTTGCCATTGTGACGAAAAAAATGAAAAAGTTTTATATGGTCCCTTTATGATTGATGATTTCTTTTCTTTCTTTTACTTTTCCTTATTCAAGCATAACAGCATCATAAAATGATGATGGTCTTTCACAATCTTTACATTCTCAACTTTCTTTTTTTCATCTCGGTTCTGTTTTGATAACAAATTTTCTTTGAGAAATGATAATGTTTCATTTATTTCGACTTGGCTGCGGGCGATGACTAATTCTGGAATTGTTTGAATGATTTTATCGTTGATTTGAAAGGAATTAAGTTCATTAGACTGTATAGAAGAGTTAACCATGGTCTACCTACATGACATAATGTTTTACAATGGAATAGTGATCATGAACAAGGAATCTAGAAAATATTATGGAATGGGGTCTCATTCTGGGGGGTCCTATCAAAAAACAAATTGATCCTAAGGGGCCGTTTACTTATGACGTCCGACATTTATGGGGAGGGGGGGGAGGGAGGTCTAGCATTTTGTGACAATTCAAACAATGAATTTTTTTTCTATAGAATTTTTGTGACAGAGGGGGGGAGGGGGGTCTTAAAATCAAGTTTTTTGATGGATGTCATAAGTGAACGATCCCCAAGAACAAAATTCCTTTTAAAAAATTTTCAGGCTTACTAAGTTCTTCTCTGAAGCAACAACTTTAAACCAATGACAAAAATGCGCTCTTTCCAAAAGTTACAACAGCACTTTCCCAACTTTTCATTCCCTATCCACTTTCATCGTATTGGGTCAAAGAATGGTCATTCAAGTATAAATTTTATTAATGCTTTCGAATTATTTATTGATTGATTAATCGGAAAATTTAACAATTGATGAAATGAACGTGACTTTGATTCGGATAGATATCAAATACTTTTTAAAATAATAAAGTGAAAACATTGAGGAAGAAAAAGTTGTTTTTAAGATACTTCCTGGAAAAAATGAGAGATTCCATGATGGGAATAAAATATTAATTTTGAATAACAAGCAAGAAAATATTGTTGGGAATTTTTTGCTGAAGTTTGGGGTTGGAAAGAAACCAAAAAGATAACTAAAACTTTGGAAGGATTGGGGGTTAGAAAGTTATTGTTTTTTAAATTCATTTAATTGAAAAACTCCCTAGTTTTTTCCCTCTCTACATCCTTAATTCCAGTCATGAAAAAAATCCTCGTCTAGCAAATCAATTCTGATACATAAGTGCGCTAGGGTGATTTGCTGCTAATGAGAGTTTAACAAGTGAGGATGAGCCAATCCACTGCACTCAAACCTAGTTTAAAGTGGGATCTGAACCACTCCTTTGATGACATTGCAGCCTGTAACCTACAAAGGAAGCCTGTGAGCCTCATTTCCAGTATATATGATTCAAAAAAGGACTATGAAAAAATTTACAATCCCTAGTCTCGAACTCATGATCGCTGGGTCGGTTTTAAATAATAAAGTAATAAAACATTCTGCAACCAAGCCACTTTAGCTCACTGATCCCAAGTGACACAAAACCACCTGCTACTAAAAATTTAAACAAAAAATTAAAAGCATGAAGATACAGAAAGAACCACATCTAGCAATGCTTTTTGCCTTATCAAACCTTCTTCTTTCGATCCTTTCTTCGAAAATATTTCTACACGTGCTTTATAATTTTGTTCATGATCAAATTTATTTTTCTACAGACTTTTTTTTACATAAAGCATATTGAATATTTTATTAATTTTAGGAAAGTACTATTCAAGTATTGTTTGACTTTTATGACATTGTATGGTATTTTTTCACGTGCTGAACTCAAATATAATCTAAAGCAGGTGTGGAGCCAGGGGAGGGGAGGAGTCGTTTGAATAGATGAAGATCCAGTGTCTTCAAAAATCATTGTTTCGGCTTATTTTCCAAAAATAATAATAATTTATTAAAATTTCTTGAAATTTATCTTGACAAATTTTTATTCTGATAATTTCCACTCCAATAATTTCTCACATCAAAAACAAAAAAAAAAAGTCATCCAAAAGTTTGTTAAACTGAAAACATAAAAAATCTTTCATTTCCATATCATCTATGTCACAAGATGAAATATCCTCCTCCTCTATATCACATGCTAATTTAATTTCATTCATTCAACTTTTCAACTTTCTAATTAATGAGCACAAAATGAGAAATAATTACAAAGTTTACTCATAAAAAATTGAAAAGGTAAGGCATGAATGTTGTTTTTTTGCTTGCTACACAAATGTCATCGTGACGAAAGAAAAAAAGAAGCTGATGAGCAAGAAGATTTTAACAAAATTTTTGCAATTTTCATGGATGCTAATACTGATAAATAAGTGATGAGTGAAGTAAGGAAAAATGTCTGTAAGAAAGAATGATTTTTTAAGCTAATGACATGAAAATTATTTTTTTAACATGAGAACTTTTTTGAGTTAATGAGGAAAGATGAATTCTTCCTCCTGCTTAGCTGCAGTCGTAAGGTTTGAATTTGGAGTCAATGTTTTGTAATCGAGTGCTGATATTTTTATATTTTAGAGGTCGTCGACTTATAAAAGTAGTCATCTTAATACATTGTTTTATGCCTACAAACTGTAGCTAAGACCGACACAGAGCTTAGATGACCTGGCAACTCCTTTGCAATCCAAATTTCGTTAGGGATCGTTCACTTTATGACGTTCGGAAATAGCGGACATATTTCGAGCTTTTTGAGCTGGAGGCACTGTGATTTAAATTCGAACAGAATCTATTGTCCCACACCCTTCAGACCTACAGTTTAAAGTGGAATCCAAGCTCTGCACATTGCAAAGACACGAGGACTTCTAAAGACCTGATGTACCCTGCAATGTACCTAATCATAATTCGTTTGTGCAAGATGCTGTAATGAAATCATCCAGATACCAGTATATCCTAGTATACCTAACAAAGGAGGCACAATATTTGCCGATGACCTCAAAACTACACACAAACCGAGCTTCGTAACTAGAACGGTGAAAATGGAAAAACAGCTCCTAAATCTTGACTTGGCCTGAGATTGAACCCAGAACCTTTGGCACGAATTCTCAGATTTTTTTTTGTTAAATCTCGTTTTCCCACCTCCCTTTACGAATGTAATAAGTGAATCCGAGCCCTTATTGACTTTTCTAAATGAAATAATTTGAACACAAAACTCTTAAAAAATCCTAGCTATGCATCTATGAAGTACTTAACCACCAATTACTTCAGTTTGCTAAAAAAAATACTTTTTTTTAAAATTTGTATAAATCAATTATTTTTAATTGGAATGTTTTTCAAAAATGCTGTTCACATCAAATGCTTCAAAATTTACATCAGGTTTATATATACAAATAATCTGTTCCAGTTCCTGGAACAAAAAAAAAAGCAAAAACGTACGGAAAAACTCTTAATTAAACCACTTAAAACAGAGGATAAAAATCTCTCTTTAATTTTTTTATTAAAACTCTTTCATAACCAAAAACAAAAAACAAATTTAGGGGTCGTTCATTTATGACGTCCAAAATTAACGGTCATTTTTCAAAAAAGAACGATGGATTTCCAGGAATTTCTATTGTTCTATTCTTGCTGACCTCCCCCCCCCCCCTCCCACCCTTGGACGTCGTAAGTGAACGGCCCCTTATATGTTGTTAATTTACATATTCATTCAAAGCATTAAAAGATTTAAAGTAAAGTTAAATAAGTGAACATAAATGTTCGTGGAAATTAAAACGAATTTTTTCAAAAGATTAATTTCAAATTAATTCTCATTTTAAGGCAAATATTTAAATTTTTTAACGTGTCTTTAATTCAACTTAGTGCCAGTCTTATACTGAATCCGACATCATTTTAGCCTATCACTCTAAAGGTCAAAAGATGCTACAATATAACCCATATTCATGCAACTTTATCTATATCAGATGCAACTCAGCATGATCAAAACAATGTCAAGAAGACTTCATCATAAAACAGAAGTGTCCCAATTAAAATGAAAATAAGTCATTGAAAATCATTTCTATAGCTTCAAATTAAAGAACTTCTTCAAATTGTCTATTGAATCCATGGCATTAAAAAAAATTAATTTGCAGAAAAATCAAAATCACTTTCATCGACTTCCTCCTTAATTGCTGTTTTGAGTAAATTAGAGCGAGTAGAATTTGGATCGTCAGACGACTCACTATCGAGTAATTGCTTTACCAATTTAATATCATCACGCTTTGTTGAAGGCACAACATTCTCTCGATTCTCGTTATCCATTGCATGTGCCTTTGATGATACATCACTTGATGTTGTTGATGCTGTTCCTCCTTCATGATAGCTCTCATCATCTTTATTATAAATCTCGTTTGTTGTTTGCTCGACATTTTCATTACCTGACTGCTGTACAAGATGTTGCGTCTCATAATTTGCATTCTCAAGTGTCATTTGTGTTGTGTCTGTTCGATATATTTCTGTTGTATTCACATAACTACCATCTGTATTTTGATATTCGTTTGTATCGTCATTTGAAGCACTCATTCCATTTGATGTTTCAATAAAATTTCTCTCATCTTGCCGACTATCTGTGCCATTATAATTGTTTTCATTCGACTGATCCTGATACACATTACCTTCAATAATGTTGCTGTCGTTCTGATATGGGAGATATTCATTCAATTGAGAACCTTCTACATCATTGACATTCCCTCTTTCATATTCTTGTGTCATTTGATGTGTATAATTTTGATCATCATACATTGTTTGTGGAACATCAGTAGCATTGCCATCAGATGAATAATTCTGATTTTGAGTACCAACATAATCATAATAAACTGATTCATTTGCATAATTAGATGGATTTTGATCATCAACTGATGATTCAATATAATTACTCTGTTGATAATTGGATTCCAATTGATGTTGATTATAAGGATTAAAATTATTTGCATCACTATCGGATTGTTGTAATGAAAGATTCTCCTGATGCTGTTGCTGCTGCTCGTATAAATTTTCCATTTGTTGTTGTTGCTGTTCTTCGTAGGAGTCCTCATATTGATGCCTCTGGGAATCCTGCTGGTGTGAATAAATATTATTAGTAGTTTGAGTGTTTGTTTTCAAGGGTTGGGCTATTAAGAACAGAAATTTTTCGTAAATTTAGATGGAAATTATAAGGAAATCAGATCGAATTGTGTGGAACTTGAACTGAAACTGATATTTTCGCTAATGTTAAGCTTATCAAACATTGTAATCACTTTTGATTGGCAGAAGAACTTGCCTCGAATGGGAATTGAACCACTTTCTTTATGGTTTCCAATCACATATACCTCTGAGCTAATTGAGGCTACTAAGAAGCTTGACAAAATGCCAACTTGAATTTTGAACCATGTCTTTAGTATTACTATATATGCGACCTTACTTAGGAACTCGGTCTATCAAAATTTCATAAAAAGTGTCTTACCTCTGGATCGTTTTGTTGATATTGCACTGATGGTTCATAAGAAAATTGTTGAACTGAACTTGTTTGATAATCACCAGCACTATTATTGTTATTATTTCCGCTTGCATCCTCAAAGGAAGATGTAGGAACAGCATAATCCTGATTCTCAAACACTGATTGTTGATTTTGTTCATACATTTGAGTGTATTGAGGATTTTCCACATACTCGACCGGCTGCTGCTGTTGAAAATTTGTGTCAATTTGCTGTGTTTCACCTGAATCATTCAGACTTTGATTCTGCTGGTGATAATAATTGTAATTAGATTGGCTATCCATTTGGGACTCATATGAACTCTTTTGAATCCCATCCGTATCTACTGCGTATTCACTTTGATTACTTTCCCATTCATTTTGAGAAATCAAATTTTTGTCATTTTTATCAATACCTACAACTGCATCATCATCACCGACATGTTGTCGTATGTCCATGACACTAAATTCTCGTTCGTTCTCATTCTGATTAAATTCTTGTTGCTCTTGGGATGAAATTTTACTTAAATCATCATTTTTATTCACCATCGGTTGAGTAACGTCAATTTTTGCCTCATCACTCAATGACGCTGCTGACAATCTTCTCATTTCAAAGTTTTCCATTATTTTACCTTTCTCCCCATAATATTTGCCCTCGATTTTCTCAATCTTACGGTAGATTTCACCAATTTTATCATTCAGTGCCATCGACGTCGGTATAGATGGTGATGATTTCAGATTTTTATCATCATTAATATTATTTATTGTTGTTGGTGTTGCTGCTGCTGCTGTATCGCCTTCAGCGAATGAATTATTGCCCTTCATTTCAGATTCACATGTTATGACGTTAGAATCACCATCCGACGATGACGAGATTTTGATATCGTCAAAATTACGCAATTCATATTCAGCACTCGATTGTGGCTGTTGCTCATTTGTGTCTGTTGGCTGTTTGTCATAATGATAAATTGTCATTTCTGTATCCGTTAATGGTAAATTATTGTAAGATACAGATGCGGACGATGGTACAGATTCATTTTGTCGATTATCGGCTGAGTGCTTTTCCATTTCATAACTTGTTTGATTTAATAGCTTTTCAGGTATATCCCTATCTTGTTTCTCACCTTCATCCATTGTTGTTATATCCCTTGACTCAAGTTCTGTCGTTCCTTTTATTGTTGTTGATTCTGTCAAGTCAATTTGTGTCTCAACAATAATTTTTGGTATAACAAAACTACTTTGTTGTGCTGTATCTGTTGGCGTTGGTTCTGCTTCAATCACCTTCTCCCACACCTGATGCATAATATTTCCATCATCATTCGGTGCTGCAACAAGAACCGGTGTTGTTTCATTAATGGATTTTATATCAGAATGCTTGATAAATGTAGACGAATCTGATGATCCTATTGTTGCCGTATTCTCACATGACTGCTGAACATTTGTATCACTAAATTTTATATCAAACATGTTATTTGATGTTTGTGGTACATCAAGTTTTTTATATCCGAATGTCATTTTTGATGATGATTTTTCGACATCACTACTATCGTCCGTATCGGCATCACTCATATGAATCGAATTCTCAGGATTAAACATTTGTTGTGAGTCATTATTTAATCGATTCTCAAATGACATTGGAACTTTCTGTTGTTGAGTTTTTTGCTGCGGTATAAAATCTGTTGATGCTGAAGACACAACACTACCAACACCAATTGGTTTTATTAATGGGTTGTCGTGATATGCTTTTGACATTTTCATGTTTCTATCACTATTGTAATTATGATGGTATTCTTGTGGCTGATTATAAATGGATTGAAATGATGATAATGATGATTTCTCATCGAGTGGTAATTGCGGTGCTGGCTGCTGTAAATCCGTATGACTGTAAATTGAATTAATTGTTGTTGGCTGATTCATGTCACCAATATTGATGGCATTGTCATGAGAAGGATGAAATGATTTTTTATTATTCATATTATTATCATCTGGAGCTTTATGTGTATATACTATTGGCATTTGCGTTGTTGTATAGTCATATTGAAGTATTTGAGGATATAATAATGTGGAAGGATAAGATGAAGGTTCAATTTCTAAAGCAGGTGACGATGCTAAAGCTCTTCCACGATAATTGCTCGATATAATTGAATTTTCTGCTATTGCTGTTGATGTCAATGGCACTTCACGATAGAGTGATTGATTATTTTGATAGGTGTGTGTAGTAATTGGAGAAGTAGAAGACATTGATATATACGAGGGTGCATTTAATAGATAATTTGATGGCCTTAAGTCAGTAACAAATGCGGAAGCTTTACTTGTATAATACGATGATTGATGAATCGGTGATTCGTCATACTTTGCCGTAAATGGTCTCTGTATATTACCAATTGTTTTGAGATTTTGCGGTAATGAATAAACTGATGATGTTTCAGTCGCTTTTCTTGTCGTCCATAAACTCAATAAATATCTCTCGTATTGCCTCTATAGGATTTAAGAGTGGAAATGTATGAGAATAAAAAAAGTCGAGTGGTTGATTGTTTTCGTACGTGTATGTAGGAAGAATGGATATCCCAATGAGGAATTTTTTTGTTAGGATTTTTATGTAGATTTTTACTTGTTGAAAAATTCTGGTCTACAAAAATTTCAACGAGACTGCTTGACTTGAGTGAACAATCACTGAAATTCTCAACAAGGAATATTCATCCTTCCTCCACAATGAAGCAATAAAAACAATATTTTTTGCCCATGAATCGAAATAAATTAGAAAGTAAAATCGTTTCCTGGGCTGTAGCTTCGAGGTGGTAGTTTGTAAATTTTTTATTTACCTTTAGTGCCCTCAATCTTTCAGTTTTAGATGCCAGCAGTTGAGCTTGATAATCAACTCGTTCCAATGTCCGTAAAATGTTTTCATTTCTCTCTGCACGTCGTCGTTTCTCGTCCATAAATTGCTTCTGTTGACTTTGTAGTGTTTTAATTATTGATTTTTCACTGCCGTGAGAAATAAAATAGATGAAATTGGAGAAAATTATAAGGAATAGAAGGGGTGAAGTGGATAAAGACGATAGAGAATGGTGAAACGTGTGTGTTGGAAATGGAAATTATATCAAGTGATATAGGATATGGTTGAAGTATCTTGTGTGATTTGAATCTACATTTTAATTAAGAATCTAGTTGTAGATCTTCCTGTAAATGTTTCCAGTCGTCTTTACATCAGAGTGATATGAATTTATTAGGAATCAAACTCATTCCTTAGAGACATTTGAACAGCAAATCGTAGACATCGTCTACTGAATTTATGAAAAGATGACAAACTCTTAAACCTTCCCTAAAGAACAAGGATATCCAATAAACCAAAAAAAATACAAAAGTCAGTCTTGACTGTCTCTAATCTAATCCTTAAACCAATAAGATCATCAACAAAATTTTCAAATCACACCAGATTTGTCAGGCAAACTCAAGATCAATTTAAACTGCAAAACTTAAAGCACTAAACTTAAATTTATGTTCGCCATTCCCACGCTAGAAGCAGAAAAGAATAGTCATCGGAATGAGGCGGTGAAAGATGGCAGTGTTAAAATAGGAGGCAGTAAACATTTGATCAAGCAGGCAACATGTTTGAATTTATCGACCATAAAACAATCGTAAGCATATAAATTGTATTTGCTTTTTATTTCTGCTTACCATTCTGACTTTTCCTGATACATCTTCTGCAATTTATTGTTCAGTTCCTCTCTCTTATTTTCACTATTTATTTGTAGAGCAGGATGGATGAAAAAAGACGAAGAAAAAAAAATAATAGAAATTATTGAAAACAATTCCTTTTCAATGGTGTGAGCAAACTATTATGGATTTTTTTTTATTACACAGCACAAAAAACCTTTTTTTCGAAAGCCGTTATGTGCTTCTTTCTTTCTCATCCAGTCTGTTTCTGGTGAAAAGTTAGAAAGATTTTAATAAATCAATGGGCGCAAGTTTGGAGTTTTTGTGTGGTTTTGCAAATTGTGGAAACGCATATAGATTGAAAGAATTTTTAATTTGAGGATTAGTCAGTTTATGGGTCGTTAGGCTTAGGGCCTAGGGGGGGTCCTAGGATTTTGTGACACATTTCGCAAAAAGGAACTCATAGTTTTCGTAATCTTTGATTGGACATCAACTGGGGGTAAGGGCATCTGTGATAGCTTTGTGACAGTGGGGGGGAGGGGTTCTAAAATCATATTCTTTTCATGGAGTCACTAAGACTACCAACTCGGATTTATTTTATTTTATAGAATTTTTGCCTCAATTTTGTCGTAAGAGATCGAGGGAAAGAGGTGGGAGGGGGGTCAAAATTTTCTATTTATTTTACAAAATCAAAACTACCCCTGCTTTGTCTTTCAATTTCTTGTTCGATAGACTCACAATTTCTTTGTAAAATACTAGGAGTACGCTTCTAAGTACCTCAATTTTCACATCAATCCCCAAAAGTATGAAATTTTCCATTTGATTCAACAAATTGCAAGGTGTAGTTGGCAACGATTCAATTTAATATGAACAAAAGCAGGTGATAATTTGGTGCTGAATTGGAATCATGCCAAAAACATGCACGATTTCGTATGGAGTGTGTAGAAATTATGCATAGAAATTCGTCAAAATCAATTTTTAAAGATTTTTTTAAGCAATTTTTTTTGAGATTTTAATAGAAATTAGGATGGGATTTGAGTTGATTAAGGAATTAGAACTTGAAGTTGTTCACTTGTAAATCCTAAGTTTTCAAAGGAGAGTGGTGCTGAGATTTTGTGGTATTTTAAATAAGAATAATATGTTGTAAATAAGAACAATTATTGTACGGAAAGGAGCTTGAGTTCGGAAAAAAAAAATTTTTTATGGACGTCACAAGTCAACGGCCTTTGAATAACGGCCCTTCTCTTGATAACCACGCTACCTGTTAAAATTAAATTTATAGTCCATCAACAAGGGGGATTTAAAGAGTTTAAAGGAACCCTGTCTTCGATGGTACGGACCAGAGCTCGAAGTCAATAGGGTTCGAGTTGACTAGACTCGATTCAAAACCGAATCGACTTGAATCAACTCGTCTCGACTTCGAGCTCTGGTGCAGACAGTCTTCTTAATAAATATTAAGTCTACGCTCCTAACCTGACAAACTGAAATTGATTCTATTTTAATCAAAAAAATCTCGATAAAATAATAATGAGAAGAATGACGGATGTAAAAGAGCACAAAAGAGGAAGAAAGCAAGTTGTTGTAGCTCTTTTAATACTTTTCTTTCGTTTATATACTTTTGTGTATTTTTTTGCTGATCATTACACATGTACAAACACAAACATTGCATTTGATTAAAAACCTAAAAAGCCAGCAGCTGTGTATTTTGGATACAAATGCTATCAAACATATGAAATTCACATCTGTTTCTTAGGTCAATGAAGCACAGCGATTTACAAGGCAGTTTCTTTTTCTAACAACTTTTATTTTCATATCCATTGTAGCACAAATTCACAATGTTCAGTGTATACATCCTCCTGATATGCTAAAAGATTGCTTAAAATTGTATTTTATGAAAATTTCCTTCCCCTTTCATTTCTTTAGTTATGTATATTTTCACATTCCATTCACAAAATGTATATGTAGTTTTATATTCCGGTACTCATTTCCCTGCTCTTACAATTTAGTTACTAGTTTGGGAAATATTTATATACTTAGCATTTTGTCTATTCTGCTTGATATTCAAACTTTGTCTATCGATTTATTCATGAATTTGGTGTCTAGTAGAGCAGTATCTGGGATATTTAGCAATAAATAAGTGCGATTTGTAATTTTGAGTTTGATTCTCATTAGATGCCGATTTCTTATTCCATATTTTTAGTCAAGCAATGCCATAAACTTTTTAAATGGAATTAAGGAGGTTGTTAATTGTTTTTTTCAACCCTAGCCCCCCCCCCCCCCCCCCTAAAATTAATGCTTATTCGACTTTATTTAAATCTATTGTTAGGCGGCATCTGAGGGCTGCCATGGATCAAAATTGATCTGTAAGGTCATCGAAGTAAGTAAGTTTGGTATGGAATTCATAGGCTTAATTAAGAAGGTAGAGGGAACAACTAATCCTAAGAATATGAAATTGAATTAATCACTGGCATAGATTTAAAGTTTTTGTATAATAAGCAATAAATACACAGGGATAAACCTAATTTTTAACAAAAATGAAGCCAAGATGCTTCTTGGACAATCCAAACCCCCCAAACCACATCTTTAAGCCACTTAGTAAGATTTAATGCGCCACTTAAATCACTCAACACAGAATCATCACTTGCACTTGCTCTCATAAGGTTCTCGAACCATTTATACGCACATACATTCACATATGATTATTACCTTTCTCTTATTTGTTGCAGAGTGCTATCGCACATTGCTTTGTAGCTTTTATAATCCATTACTAATATTTCTTTCTCTTTAGCTTTCCTTCTATTTTTTTATGATAATTTCAATTGAGTTTCTCAAGCTTTTTTTTTTTCTTCAAGATTTTCACATGTAAAGCATCGAAAGCTCACTGAACACTAAAATATTTCTCTCTCATTTTTTGTGCTCGCTGACTTAAAATTCTTTTCTTCTTTTTTTTTTGTATTTTATCGCTTTTTTAACGTCAACAAATCATGTAATATTTTCTGTTTTGCTCGCTTATTTTTTTGTTCTCGTATGCTTTGCCTTATCGCCTTGCTGCTTATTCTACTAAAAAAAATGAAGAAAAGTAGAGGATATAAGTCAGACGATGAGCAAGAACAGCTTAGATTTAAGTTTTATTTTCATTCGTGCTTTTTTTTTGCAAACAACAGCAAATAGAAGCAAAAATGAAAAGAAATGAGAATCCTCCTGTCACCAACGTCGCCAACAAACAAACAGTTTTATTAATGCTGTTATTATAGGAATAGAAGTATACATATTTGGGAAACAAAATATGGTGAAGAACAAGAATGAGAAATGGAACAATGGTAGAGGAAATTATTTGAGTGGCGCGGGTGATGATTGTTGTTTTCTTCTTCATGGTCAAGGGATGGTTATTTTTATTTTTGGATATTTAATTTTTTGTGGATATTTTGGGACTAGTGCTGACAGCTGGTTTTTAACCTCTGAAATCTACCTCAATCCTTGTTGTTCTCTTAAGTAATCTTTGGACTAGGCTAATTTTTTAATATTTTAACCCTGAACTTTCCGCTGCTTATACACTGCCTACTAGCAGGCAGAGCTCGAAGTTGACTCGAAATTTTCATCGATTTTGTATGATGGGGTCGACTCCAATTCGACTCTACTACATACAAAATTTCATGCACTTCGAGCTCTGCTGCAGAGACTTAAATCCTCCAAGACTATATGATCTATAATGTATGATCTGTGACAATTTTTTTAAGAAGGTGTAAGTTTAGTGAGCAGCTTTCAAGCATTATACAAAGCTTAGTCAAATGTCACAGCGCCTGATAAGGACACCTGTCTTAACCAGATAATGTCCTGAAATTTATTCTAGATCAGTAGTGTCTAATTTTTTAAAAAATATTTCACAGCACAACTGAAAACCTTCTAAACTAGTCAAACACGCAGTTTGATCATCATTGACTTAAAAATTTAACACAATAACTTTATAAAATTATTCTTAGATAAATTCATCAAAGCTTTTAAATTGTAATAAATCAGTCACATAGCCGAGAGAAAGGGTGGTTCCATCTGACTATACCCTCAATTGTACAAAGAACTAATCTCATCAAAGTCCTTAGAAATCAACATGAAATCCTTCATATGAGCTCACTTGTCAATTATCCAGTCTTAAACCTAAGAAACTTTCATTGCCATCACCTTGATTTTTTCTTTTTCCACTAAACAAGACTAGTGGCATGTGTATCTAAATATAAACGTTTATTTTCTAAGCAGACATGAAAGAGATATGATGTTTATAAGCCCATACTCTTCAATTCCATTTCTATTCAACATCCAAGGTCAATCAATATCCGACAACGTTCTACGGCAAAAGACGAAAGTAAATGAAAATCAATAATGAATGTTTTTACTTCCTTGCACTACACAAATCACACGCATATAATAATAAATATTACGATTTTTTGAGGAACCAAATTGGCTTACAATTTACGATTTTTTCTTTTCTGTGATGAATCGTTTCATCGTTTTTTACTTAATTTTTCACTTAGAACTGCTGCCTGATGTTTATTTTTATTACTCTTGTACTAACAAATTTATCGAGTAATAAAGTAGAACGAACCAAAAAAAAAACTTTATGTGAGACGAGGAACGTCAGCAATGTTTAAATCATGACAGGTGACTAAGCACAAAAAATTCTTAACGTTGTTGTTTTTGCTCGTATTTCGGGGGGTTGCTATTCCATTTCGTTGTGTCCATAACAAAAAATAAAGAACGGCGATGGAAAGAAAATAAACAAATAATAACATCATCATATGCTGATTACCTGGTTTCGTTCTGTACACAACTGTTTTTTAGTTGTCTTATGCATGTATGCTTCACTCGCTCGCGTGTAAGCACATTCTACAGGGGTTGAGGATGAATAAAATTGTGTTTTTTTGTAACTTATTTATTTTTCGACGTTACCGTCCAGAAGAATTCGTATTTATACATGATTACATTTTACATAGATTAGTGATACATTTCAGGTCCGTTCTGACAATTTTCTATTATAAAGTAATATTGTAGC